TTGCGCCGTTGTATCATTCTGCCGTCAAGCATTATTCACCCGTGGTCTGTAACCTACCTAAGACGCATCGAGCTGATTGACCATCTGTCTAATTAATCCCGATCCGCAAATTATGGATTATATTGAACCTCCTGTGTTCTATTCGTCACAGTCGTTTCGAAATGGTCACCTATACCCGGTTATCCAAAGAGGAAAATTGTGCTGAGATCTACCCTTCTGGGCGGTCTTTTTGACCAAAGTTATCGATGTTTCGTTGCATTTTGTCAAATCCGCCTTTGTACGCAGATATCTACGTAGACCTTTACTTCGTTACAGCTACATTAAATTCCCTACCCTCTGACGACGATTCGTCCACGTGCACCTTCGACATGGATCTCTGCGGTTGGTCAAATGATCAGAACAATTGGCGACACGCCTGGTCGTTGTCCGATCAGATAGAAACACATTCGCTACAAGAGAAACTAACTACCGCAATCGATCGAGCACTTTGCTTGTCCGCAACTGACAAACTGAATAAATTCTCTCGGGGACGTTCCAGTAGCTCAACACGGCGTCACCAAGTGTCCAATTCAATAGATGAACCGATTCAAGCCCGTTTGTGGAGTCCTCAATTCCTTCGGGAAGATATGCTTCAATGTTTGTCTTTTACGTATCGTATTGATCGCGCTCCCCACTCACTGGTTTCTTTAGCTTTACTGCAAAGACAAGAAGGGTAAGGGTTCTCTCTCGCGTCCTCCTCGTTGAGCTGTTTATCCTTGCAGAGTAACCGGCGATTTCTTGTCCTTTTTAGTTAAACGGGATATAGTTTTTCATAGACATAATTCTCTGTTAGATGTCGTTACAGGTTTCCCTGCTTCCATGAATTAATGACATCACTTTAATACCAATCACGAACCATCCGTACTTTGCTACAAACAATCAAAAGTAGTCTGCAATAGATGACGTCCTTCGTCAGACTGTATCTGTTCTTCGGTCTTGGCAGTCATCGTCTCGTACTCGGTTTCTTTTATTCAGCTGGATCGTTGTCCAAGAAGTTGCTCGATTGTGATTATACACGCAATTCGTCCGCACAGTGCCGTTGGAATCCGGACCACAATGATTGGGGTCGTTATCGTTGGCGTGTCCAATCAATCAGTTCACTTTTGGCCCCATCCACTGAAGAATCTGCTGCCCATTTTGCGCTCTGTTTGCATAGACCAGCCACGATCCGAACCACAGAGACACTGATTTCGCGATTGTGGAGTCCTTCTGTCGGCGATGGGAAAGAGGAAGATTCAGAGGAGCTAGACAGCTTCAGCTCGGACGAGTTTAACGACGCGACAATTGATTTTGCATCAGCGTTTCACAAACCAGTTTTGATGGACAAGATCGGCATGCCCCAGTGTTTGCAAGTGTCCTATCGTTATTTTCCTGGGAGACTGAACTCAAATAGTGATATGTCTTTCAACCGTTTGGGCAACAATAGTCAGCCGACATTGGCTTTGTTGAAACGACAAAAAGGGTGAGAGAGTAGAGAATTATCGGTGCATTTGTACTTGTACCAGAAAATAATATTTGCTATGGATATGTCGGAATCTTTACTGCTGTACATTCCAACTTCCGCTCTACTCCTTCATACAAATGAGCACTCATAAAACAGGAGCCAAAGCCGGCGCACCGAGGGCCACGGTTAGTGGTTGTAGAAACCGAATTGAACCTCTTGCTTTATCTGATGTGCCATGCACAATGAACCATTTATATGCAGCGTTCCTGTGGCAAAAGCTCGACAAATGGAGCACTTCGATGTGTTTGATATGCTTCAGGTACCTTCGTTATTTGCGATAATTCTGATCCTGTTTTTGTCTCGAAAGAATGCGTATTCTGAT